ATTCGCGGATCATATTTAATACAAACAAATGCTTTTCTAAATCATCCATATCTTTTAAACCGTAACTCCGATTTAAACATGTTATATATGAATTTTGATTAGAAAAATATGTAGAATATGAATATAAGATTATTTTAACCTGTAAGTATTTATAAATATTATTTTGAAAGATATTTAATTCAAACAAATGGTTTTCTAAATTATACGCATCTTTTAAACCGTAACTCCGATTTTAATATGTTATATATGAAATTTGTTTAGAAAAATGCGTGAAATCTGTATATGATGTTAATTTTACCTGTTAAATTTTTTTAATTATTATTTTGGAAGGAAACTTATAACTATAGCGCACGCTTCATTTTTCTTTGATACAGGCGGCGATCCGGATTGCAAATAAACACCCACTATAATCATATAGGGAAAAGAAAACATCGAGAACTACACATGCATACCTCTGAATACGTTGCAGGGGAAAACAATAGATTTCTCATCGCGAGTGTGAGAGAAAGCGAGAGAGAGGGAGAGGGAGGACAGAGGGAGAGAGAGACGTCTTAGGATTAACCACATTCTAACACGTTTTGGTTTGTGTGAACACTAAGGCCATCGCCGGCGAGGGTGGGAAGAAGGATAAGCGGCAACACAAATATGATGTGTCGCTAAAATAAAGGAGATGGACCTATTGTGGTCTTGAGTGATGGTTGTTCGGTTAAGAGTGTGTGTTGTGTTTTTTCTCCCGTTGCAACGCACGGGCTCTTTTGCTAGTAATAATAAAGTACGTACGGTTTCTGCTCGTCCGTCGCACCAATTTGCAAAAAAGCCCCTGCGTTTACATGAAATCAACCCGCAGTCCAGATTTAAGTCACTCCGACCCGTTATTTTACAGTTTTTCAAGAAACCCCTTGACTTTTTAGGTATTCTATTCGTGGATCATATTTAATACAAACAAATGCTTTTCTAAATCATCCATATCTTTTAAATCGTAACTTCGATTTAAACATGTTATATATGAATTTTGATTAGAAAAATATGTAGAATATGAATATAAAATTATTTTAACTTGTTAAGTATTTATAAATATTATTTTGAAAGATATTTAATTCAAACAAATGGTTTTCTAAATTACACTACTAGAAAAACCTCTACTAATGGCGCACCTATTATGGCCATTAATGGCGCATCTGTGGTGCGCCACTAACAGCATGCCATTAGTAATTTTTACTAATGGCGCACCAGCGGTGCGCCATTAATATCTGGTATACTAATGGCGTGGTGCGCCATTAGTATAGGCCACGGTGCGCCATTAGTATGCCTCCCAGGGGCCAGGTGCTTTGGATACTAATGGCGCACCACAACTAGATGCGCCATTAGTAACCGCGGCATACTAATGGCGCACTTTCCTGTGATGCGCCATTAGTGATGCGTCATTTAAAATCTAGATCTGGATCGTGATTTTTTGCCCATTTTTTTGCTCGTTTTTTTTGCTTGTTTTTTGGCACGACAATATTCTCAAATTTTGTTCCTGTTGTTTTTGGATCTTGTTGCCATGGTCTTTTTCCGGAGAGGAGTTCGCCGGAGAGGAGGAGGAGGAGCTCACCGGAGAGGAGGGAGGAGGAGCTCACCGGAGAGG